TAACTGTATTAATTCAACTGTGAACCTAAAAATTTATAGCCCATTTTGAAAGAGATGCATCTTAGCTATGGAAATTGTTATTGAATATGTCAATGCTGTTGTAATGAAATGCTTCATCTAATTATATGGTTATTAAATAATTTTAAAAAATCATTCAATTTTATGTCTTATAGGGCATATTTGATATTGTATAACTGCATTAATTCAACTGTGAACCTAGAAACTTACAGCCACTTGCTCTGGAGTGTGTTACTTGACTGTTAAAGCTGTAATGAAATGCTCCTTCTAATCATGTATTTCTTAAAAAAAACTTTAAAAATTTTCTCATTAATAATTAGTAGATGTGAAAAACATTACCATTGAAATCTAACTGAAGACTTTATATCCATGCTCAGATGCCAAGGATCGTAGAAAGTAGCTGACTGTGACTAGTAATAATCAGATATATAGAGATTAGAAACACGTGCAAACATCTTGGTGTTAATTTCATTAAAACTAAATTTTTCTCTATGAAACACGTATTTTAATAATGAATTGGAGATCTTTTTTAAAGGTAAAACTTCATTCAATTTTATGTTTTATAAGGTTTATACGGAGTACAATATTGTATAACTGTATTAATTCAACTGTAAACCTAAAAATTTACAGCCAATTTTGAAAGAGATGCATCTTAGCTCTGGAAATTGTTATTGAATATGTCAATGCTGTTGTAATGAAATGCTTCTAATTATGTGGTTATTAAATAAATAATTTTAGTGTAATTTAAATATCACAAAAAGTAGACCTTATATGGTACAGAAAAAAAATGAATTTTAAGATTTAAAAAAATTCTGTGAAGACTGGCTTTGGAATTTTGTTGGAGAGTGCATGGAACCTATAGACGCCTTTGTTAGCACAGTCATTTTCACAATCTTAACTTCCGATCCATGAGCATGGGATCCCCTTTCATCACCAGTATCTTGTTTGCCTGCTTGTTGAGTAAAGTTGAGTACTTTAAAGTCTTCGTTGCAAAGGTCTTTCACTTCCTTAGTGGTTAGGGAATGGCTAGATTTGTTCCAAGGGTTTTTTTTTTTTTTTTTTTTGGTCTTTTTGAGACAGGGTCTCCCTGTAGCCCCAGCTGTCCTGGAACTCACTATGTAGACCAGGCTGGCCTTGAACTCACAGAGATCCGCCTGCCTCTGCCTCCCGAGTGCTGGGATTAAAGGCGTGTACCACCACGCCCGGCCAAGGTATTTTTTAATTGTCTATTGATTTACTATTTATTTATTTATTGAGGCAATTGTGAATGGAATTATTTTTTCTGAATTTTTACTCAGCATTCTGGGATTTGTTGTTGTTGTTCCAGTATTTGCCTTCTGTAGTTAGTTGGGTTTGCACATGTGGAACCTAACTATATGAAGGGCCAAGTGTACCATCTTGTTATTATCTGTTTATTAACTTTTGTTAACCTTATGCAGTTGTTTTAAAACTTGAGTGAATATATTGTGGGCTGGAGAGATGGCTCAGAACACTGACTGCTCTTGCAGTGAACCTGGATTCAATTTCCAGCATTCACATGCTGGTTAACAACTGTCCGTAACTCCAGTTCCAGGGATCTGACACCTTCTGACGTCCATGGGCATTGCATGACATGGGTGTACTTAAGTACATGTAGGTAATACACTCATACACACAAAATAAAAATAATAAAAATATATATGTAACTTGAATATACTGTAAAACGAAAACATTTTTTGTATTTTATTTATTATTTTTATTTTATGTGTATGAGTGTAAAGCCTGCATGTATGTAAGTGCACCCATGTCATGCAATGCCTGTGGAGGCCAGAAGAGGGCATCAGATCTGCTGGAACTGGAGTTATAGATGACTGTTAGTCATCATGCGGATGCTGGGAATCAAACCTGGGTCCTCTGCAAGAGCAGCCAGAGCTCTTAATCTGAGCTCTCTCCAGCCCCAAGGAAAACATTTTTTAATCTTATCAAATTTTTATTATCACACAAAATAAAGTTTGCTTTTAAGTCAGGTGTGGTGCCTATACTCCCAGCACCTAAGAAATGGAAACCAGAGGATCAGGAGTTTGAGACCAACTGAGATGCACGAAACTCTGCATCAAAAATAAAAGCAAAACATCGGGCTAAAGGATGCAGGTTCAGTTCCCAACATCCAAATGGTAGCTAATAACTATCCATAATTTCAGTTCCAGGGGATCCAATGCCCTTTTCTGGCTTCCACAGGCATTGCACACATGAGTGCACTTACACATATGCAAGCAAAACACTCATACACATAAAATAATAATAAATCTTAAAAAACAAAACAAAAACAATGGGTTTATTATATTTTGTCATATTTATTGTATTTTGCTCTAGTCATCCCCAACTTTCTTTCTGCTCTCCCAATTGTCTGTCCTATGCTTTTGTCTGTCGTGTGTGTCCATGTGTGTATGGGTGTGTGTGGGTATGCATGTGTGTGTGTCCATGTGTATATGGGTCTGTGTGTATGCATGTTTGTGTGTGTCCATGTGTTTATGGGTATGTGCGTGTATGCATGTGTGTGTATGTCCATGTTCATGTGTGTGTGTGTGTGCATATGTGTGTGTCCATGTGTGTATGGGTGTGTGTGTGATGCATGTGTGTGTATGCATGTGTGTGTATCCATGTGTATATGGGTCTGTGTGTATGCTTATTTGTGTGTGTCCATGTGTGTATGGGTGTGTGTATACATGTGTGTGTATGTCCATGTGTATGGGTGTATGTGTATGCATGTGTGTGTCCATGTGTATGGGTGTGTGTGTATGCATGTGTGTGTATGTCCATGTGTATGTGTGTATGCATGTGTGTGTGTCCATCTGTATGGGTGTGTATGCATGTGTGTGTGTCCGTGTGTATAGGTGTGTGTGTATGCATGTGTATGGTACGCATATGTAAATGTGTATGTGTGTATGTGGTATGTGTATGTATATGTATGTGTGTGCACGTGTGCACTATGCATATGCAAATGTGTATGTATGTATGTGCATGTATGTGTGTATGCATGTGTGTACATGTATGTCTATGTGTGTATACATATAAATCTAGACTTAGCATGTGGGAGAAAGCATGTGACACTCACCACTCTCTTTTTTCCCTGAAAAAAGAAATTTGTTTTTTTTAATTAAAAAAAAAGTTTTTGTGGTCCCCCTGTAGCCCCAGCTGACCTGGAACTCGCTATGTAGACCACAATGGCCTTGAACTCACAGAAATCTGCTTGCCTCTGCCTCCCTAGTGCTGTAAAGATATGCACCACCACACATGTATGTGTATGAATGTATTGCTTGCATGCATGTAAGTGCACCCATGTCATGCAATGCTTGTGGAGGTCAGAAGAGGGCATCAGATCCTCTGAAACTGGAGTCATAGACGGTTGTTAGCCACCATGTGGGTGCTGGGAATTAAACCTGAGTCCTCTACAAGAGCAGTCAGTGTTCTTAACCACTGAGCCAACTCTCCAGTCCCCAAAAGGAAATTTTATATGACATCATAAAGTGGAAAACTATTTGACACAAATAGAAAGCAGCCAAAAATAAGCAGAAATAAAACACACTTAGTTTCAGTTGTTTGTCTTTTTTTTCACCTCAGATGGGTAATGTGCTGGTGCATAATAAGGTTTAAGGGCGGCACATGTCACACATACACGTGAACACACACATCATCATGCTTATGAACCAAAAAAAGGATCTTGTGTGTTTCTTTTTGTGTGCTAGTGTTAGAGTAGCAAAAAGCCCCATAAGTTTAACTGGTCAAGGCTATAATTCTCTAGTCTGTTGAAAGACCCACCTTTCCAGTCTCACTGGTCAATCACCTGATCATAGGATCACCCCTAGGAAAGCAGGTTTACCTTAAGTTATGCTAAATAGATGGGCAAATACCTAGTGTGTTGATGAGATGGCGAACTTTTCCTGCTTGGAATCCCGCCTCCCAGTGCGGAGCCTCTGGACCCAGACATAGACATGTAGGTCTCTGGAAGTCTTCCCACTTTTCTGAATTCTTCAGAAAAGTATAAATCTCTCCTTTTCTTCTTCATATCCCTTTTCTAAATGTGCTTTCTCTAATGCTTTGCGCTGCCCCAGCATCTTGTATTTCTTTACTTTTTCTCTAAAGCTTCCTTCTCCCAACCATGTGGCTGCCAGTCAGCCTCATGTTGACCTCCATGCAGGCTCTAAACCTGCCTGGCTCCATGGCTTTCTTCCCTTCTCCCCATCATTCTCCTCCTCAAGGCAGCTGCCAAGATGAGCAGCTCGCCTCCCCTGAGGATTTTTCTGTAAGATTCTGTAACATTGTCTAAAGCTTCCATTTGGGTCCATTCTTAAATTATTTTATGAATGAAACTAAGAACCCTCTAGGGGATGCTCTTTCTCCCCGTTTCACTAGGAAGAAAACCTCCAGCCTGGAATGTTCATCAGACAGAGGCTCTACCCCTGAGGTGCATCCCAGTCCCTATAATAATATTTTAAAATCTGGTTTAATACTACAGCCTGCTGCAGGGTGGGTCTTTTGTCAAATGCTTAACTGGCGAGTGTTACAAATCTCCTAGTTCAAGAGATTCTCCTAGATCAAGGTGACTGAAGGAAGACGCATTTTGAGTCCGTGTTATTTTAGTATAATAAGTCATATCCCTCTTTTCAAGTCAATTTTCTTTTTAGTGACATCACACTAGAGTCCACAGCTTGGCTACAGGGAAGAGATTAGAAGTGAAGATGGAGAAGGGATGTGTAGTACTGAGGCAGGATGGAAGGATGGGGAATTGTGACATAAGAGATGAGGGTCCTGGTATTCCACCCGCCTTTTCTACTGAAAAAGGTGGGAAACTTCAGATACGCAGTTAAAGCCCCATTTCTCCACATAGACAGTGTTTTCCAAAAGACATCTTTTCAAAGACAAAAAAAAGGGGGGAGCCAAAAGGAGTCTTGAGTATATACTCCTCTTGCATTCCTGAATGTAAACAGTAAAGCTGTCTCACAAGGTAACCTGCAGCAGGAAACTTACCCTTAACCTGTGTAAGCTACAGGCAGAGCAGTGTTAAAGAGGTGGACTGGTTCTTAGCAAGCTTTACAGCTGTGACTTGACAGTCAGCCAGATCCTACATGCCCGCTGTAAGGACACATATCTGGCCTCTCACTAGGGAAGCTTGCATTATGCTGGTCTCTCTCTCTCTCTTTCTCTCTCTCTCTCTCTCTCTCTCTCTCTCTATTTCTTTGTGGAAGCCACAAATTCCTGGTTTTGTCAGAACCGTGTGAGATTACTCCCTGAGAGGCAAGTTCCTCCGCAGGCAATAGTAGACTCCAACCTTTTCTGTCTCCCGCTGAGGCAGACCATTGTTTCAATAGTCTGATGGGAGAAGGGAGGGGCACAGGCACCTCTCTTTAGCACATCTTTTCTCCTACCCACCAGGTATGTGACCCCACAGGGTAGGAAGGTAAGGTACTTAGAGGCTGCCTGCTTGTTCCAAGCCTTCTGCACTTGGGGGTGTAGAAAGGCCTGGCCACAGCCCACACCACCTCACAGACATTCAAGCAGGGGAAGCATGCTTTCATTCTTTCCACTGCAATCATTTTCCATGGACCAGCAGCAGGGAAAAGGTGCAGTAAAACTGAAAACAAAGTAACTACTGCAGAAGCAGGCTTCTCCCAAACTGGCTTTGCAACCTTTTCCCCTTCTAGTGTCATTTTTGCACAGGGCGGCACCTACTGTCAAGGACATCAGAAAGGCTGGAAGAGAAGACAGACCATAGGCTGTGACGCCACTCTGTGGTATTCTAGCAGTTAGCGCCCTACATCTAGAAGCAGAAACACTGAGCTCCGATCTTCTTACCATGTTGCTTTAGCTCCTTACAAAGGGCCTGCTTCTGAACTACCCAGTCTCACAGAATCCTGTGACTTAGAGAAATCCTGATTGCATGAAGCATTGAGCTACATCAGTGCTTGTCCAAGTAGCAGCCAGAATACAAATGGCCCAAATGAAGATGACAAACATTTACTGACTATGTCTTTTTCAATACCAGCCGTGTAAGGGAGTTTCTACCTCTAGCCCTGCTGTAAGTTCTTGGTGCTGGTGATTGGCCTAGGGCCTTGCACATGCTAAGCAGGCACTCTGCCACTAAGCTATCCCCTTGGGCCACTAACCCCACTTTGAAAAATGCAGAAAAATGGCCTGAGAAGATGGGCTAATTGGTAAGGTAAGCCTGAGTGCCTGAGTTTGAATCTCCAAAAAGGGCAGAAAAGGCTGGACTCAGTGATGCCTACCTGTAATCTCAGCAGTGGGAGAGGTAGAGACAGGGGCCCTGGGAGCTACAGGTCAGCTAGTCTGGTCTACAGGTCAACGTTCCAGGCCAATGAGAGACCTTGTCTCAAACAAAAGGTGGGCAGTGCCTGAGGACTGTCCTCTGACCTCCACACATGTACCTGGTGTTATAGTAGAGAATGGACTGGAACCTACCTCTGCGTGGAAACAGACAAGTCTCTTCGCTTAAGAGTTGATCCAGCTGTGCCATTCAATCTCCTGGCAAAGGGACTGCCGCTAGAGAAGACAGGTCCACATTAAGTCATGCTAAACAACAGGAGAAATAATTATCCCTTTAATGAAGCAATGTACTTTTCCATCCCAGAATCTCCTCTGTTAGAATTCAGGATGAGAAGACGATGTGATAAAGTAGAAATGGAGTCAGACCTCAACAGATGCAGATAGCTTTATTAGCCAAGAGGGGCAAACAACCTTCCTGCAGGAATGTGCTATGGGTTTCGGAGAGGTCTGGGATTTATAGGTGAACCCAGAAAGTCCCAGAAGGTGAGTCATGCCTTTCTAGCATCCCAGAAGGTGGGTGTTGTCCTGCTCCTTCCCGGGATCTGAGAAGGAGAGGTGGGGAGTGTTGGCAGGGGATGTATAAGGAACCAGATCTACAAGAAGGCTGATAACAAACTAGATGCCTGTGAACTATCTCAGCTCATTAACCTAGCCTAAGTTACTCCATTTTGCACAAAGCAGCCATTTCAGGAGAAGTGCCTTTTACCCTACTTATAAAAGCTACCTAGAAGGGAGAAACAACTTTGAATTATGAGAAATGGCCTGCCTGCATACCACAGGGTGTTCTAATCTAGGCCTGCACTTGACTAACTGCTTATCTCGCTTCTGTAAACCTGCTTTGTGCCTGCAGAATAACACGTAATTGATTGCTAAATTCAAAGTTTTCTGTGTTTGAATTTTGCTGTGTTGTGTAAACCTGATAGGCCCACTGATGTTCTGTTTGAACCTTGCTTTCTGTAATCCTATAAATATTCTGGCTGATTGGTGTTCGCTGCTGCTTCTATTCCCGACATAGACAGCCTGGTCGGCTGAAATAAAACTTTACCTCGCTGCTTTCAATTAAGTAGTGTTGGTGATTTTTATTCGGAATCTGGCATGTAACAGTCTGGGGCTGGAAAGATGGCTCAGTGGTTAAAAAAACTGGCTTCTCTTGCAGAAGACTGACCCAGGTTCCAATCTCAGTACCCACACTGTGACTAACAACCGTCCATAACTCTAGTTGCAGGGTATTCCCTCTTCTGACCTCCTCCAGCATTGCACAACATGAGTGCATTTATGGACATGCAGGGAATACACTCATACACATAAAATGAAAATAATATTTCTTTTTGCTTGTTTTTTTGAGACAGGGTCTCCCTATAGCCCCAGCTGGCCTAGAACTCTATGTAGACCAGGCTGACCTTGAACTCACAGAGATCCACCTGCCTCTGCCTCCCAAATGTTCGGATTAAAAGCGTGCGCCACCAAGCCTGGCCAATAAAATATTTTTTAAAAAAGAAACCAAATGTCTTTTGCTAGGGGCCATGTGTTCTGAAATAGACGTATTTCCCTCCTGGAATGGGGAGGCAGGGTGGGGGGTGGTCAGTTCATTCAGTCATTTGTCAGTGCAGTTGCGGCAGAACTGCCATGAGGTTCTATTGGATCTGTCTCTTTTCTAAGCATGCTTTCCCTAACACTTTTGGGCTTCAGTCTTTCTCTAAAACTCCCCTTCCCCCAGGAGTATGCTTGTCCACCACATGGCTGACCTCCCACCTAACTCAACCAACATGGCTTTCTCTCTACCTCGTCTCTATCTTCTGCCTTGGGGTAGCATCTGAGATTTATAACTTGCCTGTTTTGAGATTTTTCCTTTAAACTCTAATAAAAATATCCTTGAGATTTCTTTGGAGACTTCTTAAATTCTTTTATCAACCAGACTAAGAACCCTAAGAAGTGACCCCAATTTCCCTGGTAACATGTGGTGACTCTGGTGGAACTCTCCCAAATTTCTAGTAATACCTGTACCCACACATGAATGCATGTGCACACATGTACACACATTTTTTTATGTAGAATAGTGCTGAGCCTGGTGGTACATACCTGTAATCCCAGTACTTAGGAAGCACAGGCAGGAGGAATGCCATAAGTTCGAGGCCAACCTGGGCTACATAGTGAGTTTGAGGCCAGCCTGGATGGCAAAGTGAGACCCTATCTGAAAAAATCAGGAAGTGGGGCTGGAGAGATGGCTCAGCCGTTAAGAGTAGTGGCTGCTCTTGCAAAGGACCCAGGTTTGGTTCTTAGCACCCACATGGTGGCTAATAACCATCTGTAATGCCAGTTCCAAGGGATCTGATACCCTCTTCTGACCTCCGAGGGCATTGCACGGCACTACACTTACA